AGGCTGGAAACGCCGGGGGGGCCAGCCTGGGCCGCGCCTCCTCCCCCCACACCTCCGTTACCTGCTTCATGCTTCCTGTGAATCAAATGTTCGTGGGAAGCAGGGGAGGGGGCGGAGACTTTGGGGAAGCGGCGGAGTTGGGGCGTGGGCATGGGCGGGGCTGGGGGCAGGGCCGGGGCCCCGTGGAGTGTCCTCCTTTTGGAGGCACAAGATATGGTAACCCTAACCACCAAGCAGGCATGGGAAACTACATGCCACACCTCAATGCAGAAGCAGTGAACACTGTGTACAGCCTTTCCTTTCTATCCGCTGTACTGCATAGGCAGAATGCCTTGGGAAGCTTGTTTGGCCATTACAGCTGGTAATGCCACTACAGCTGTTTGTACTTGTGAAAGGACAGGTTAGCCCAAGTATGTTTGGCAGCTCAAGTTGTTACATATTAACTTGCTCTTTGCTATAAAATCTGACCTCTTCCAAATGCCTTTATAGAAAGAGATGCCCTTAGTTTTTTTTATTTTGTTCTCTCTCCCTCCCCACCCCCTTCATCTTTGGAAAATGGAACAGGCCTATTAACAAACAGAGTTTTCTGGCAATAAAGTAAACCCTGCCCTTTGAAACACATCAATCAGAGAAAGTACAATATTTTTTAAAACCCTATACTATTTCCTCATTAAGCAAGTTATATTTATTAGTACTGTGTAGTGCACTATAGCACAGCTTCTTACAAAGCGCTACAAAAGGGAGAAACTCTTGTTAAGGAAACCTGGGTATATATATACTTGGTGGATTAAGACTGTGACCAGAATGATGTTTAAAAAACAAAAACCAGCCAAAACACTAGCCCTGCTCCAGAAAACCCTATTGAGCCAGACACCTACCCTTGGGTTAATGACTCTAAATGCTGTTTCGCCCAGTTTATATTTAGCCTTGCCCGGATCCCTCCTGGTGGCCGATGGATTACAGCGACGACCGATGCCCAGCGCACACCAGTGACTTCATCAGGGGCCTCGGCTGAGACGTGGTGTGATCGACCCCGGAGGGCACAACGGTGCAACGCACTCGAGTAGTGGAGAAGCAGTTGGGGGCGACGGTGAGGAACCGGACCCTTGGATAAAGTAGGAACAGTCCAGTGGGGATTTTACCGGTTTTGACCTGAGGACGCCCAGTATCTCCCTAGAATATGGGGCAGGGACAGAGTACTCTAGGCAGGGCAAGGTGTATGCCCTTAGAATGCATTCTGGTGAACTGAAAAGTGTTTGGATCGGATCCGTTGATTAGAAGTAAATTAAAAAGATTCTGTACAGTAGACGGGCCTCAGTATCAGCTAGAGTGCCAGGAAAGGTGGCCACTGGTAGGATCACTTAATTACAACACAATCCTTCAGTTACTCTTGTTTTGTCAGCGAACAGGTAAATGGAATGAACATCTCTATGCGTATATGTTTATGATGTTAAGAAATAGGCCTGATATTTTGCACAAGTGCCATTTGACTCCGACAGGCTCGGTAGTACTTGCTGCTAATCCTCAGAACCCTCCCACAGTTGTAATGGCAGAATCGGTATCCCCTTCAGCTCCAGCACCCCCACAGAGAGTACCGCCTTGGTGGGATTGTATCCGTTGATTACTGAGAATGTGGTAGCCTGTCCAGGAACACAGGAACATGCAGCCCAGATTGTGTCAGTGTATTCTCATGTTCCTTTTAACTCCGTGCACCTAGCTGCCTTTAAGGCAGAAGCAGGGGAATTCTCAACGAATCCAAGGAAGTTTATTTCAATCTTTGAAGGGTGTCTAGCAAGTCATAAGCCTGACTGGGATGATTGCAATATACTGATGAGAACCTTGTTGTCTGAGGTGGAGCGGAATCAGGTTATAGCCAAGGCTAGGGAAGAGGCACAGAAAAGGCATAATGAGGACAGAGAAGGCAAGCCCCTGCCTGAGATTGCTGTCCCCATAGCGGACCCCCGGTGGAACCCAAATGAGGAGAGGGATTTGAGGATGCTTAACTCCTATAAGGAACTGCTTATGTTTGGCCTCCGGCATTCAGCTGTCAGACATAACAATTGGACAAAGCCTTATGAGTTAATCCAGGAATCAAAAGAGAGTCCAGTGGCTTTCCTGGAGCGTATTCGGGATACCATCAGACAAACTACTAATGCAGACCCAGATGATCAGGCAACTGAGGCAATTATAAAGGGTATCTTTACCAGCCGTGCGGCCCCTGATATTAAAAGGAAACTGCAGAAAAAGGAGGATTTAATGGGAATGTCTGTGGCTCAGATCTTGGAGACTGCAAATAGGGCTTATACCCTTAGAGAGGGAGAGAAGGAAAAAAGGCAAGTGAAAATGATGGTAGCAGCGGTGCAGGCCGGCGGCAGAGGAAGGTCACAGAAAGGTGAAAGGGGCAGGGGAAATGAGAGGTCGTGGTCGCCCTGGTCCCCAGGACAGGCGCCTGGGTCACAACCAGTGTGCCATATGCCGAAAGGAGGGACATTGGAAAAATGAGTGCCCTGAAAGGGAAGGTACCCCTATGATGGCAGCGGAGGATCAAGACTAGGGGTGTCAGGGGCGACGGATCATCCTGCCCCCCGGAACCCTGAGTAAAAATGAGGGTGGAAAATTCAGAAATAGATTTTTTAGTAGACTCTGGAGCAGCAAGGACCGCAGTAAACCAACCCCTTCAGCTGCCAGTGGCAGACTCCCTTACTGTGGTGGGTGCCACAGGGAAAGGAATTAAATGCCCAGTGTATGCCCCAGCGGAATGTGCTTTGGGAAACAAAACTATCTCACAAGTAGGTTTACCTCCCTGATTGTCCAACACCCCTACTAGGACGGGACCTGCTTTGTCGCTTAGGTGCCACCCTGCATTTCACTCAAGAGGATATAACTCTCACCTTACCCCCTGAGAATGCTTGGATAATGACCCTTGCAGTTGAACCCTCAACCATGCAAGCCCCAGAGTGGAGCGAGTGGGAGGACCAGGTGTATTCCCTTGTCTGGGCATCAGGGGTCCCAGGGAAGGTAACCCGTCAAACCCCTTTTCATATTCAGCTTCTCCCAGGAAAAAGCCCAGTGCGAATCAAACAGTATCCGATTAAGAGGGAAGCCAGAGAGGGACTGCAAGAGACTATAGATCGGTTCCTAGAGTGCGGTGTACTATGAGAATGCCAGTCAGCTTGGAACACCCCCATTCTGCCCGTGCAAAAGCCCAATGGCACGTATCGGCTGGTACAGGACCTCAGGGCAGTCAATGAATGGGTTAAGACTCTGCATCCCCTTGTTCCAAATCTGTATACACTGCTGGCCTCTATAGGGGGGCAGTACACCCATTTCTCGGTCCTAGATTTAAAAGACGCTTTTTTCACAATTCCAGTCGACGCCCAATCTCAGGAGATATTCTCCTTCGAGTGGGAGGACAACAGAAGGGTTAAAAAGCAGCTTTGCTGGACAGTATTGGCCCAAGAATTTAAAAATTCCCCCACTCTGTTCAGCCAGGCTCTGGCCAGAGACTTGGAGGAGTGGGACAATGAAGACAAAGCCCTGCTCCTGCAATATGTAGACGATTTGCTAATTGCTGCTGTGGGTTTAATCCCTGGTCTCAAAGCTACTGTGAGTCTCCTGAACTTTGTTGGACTCCGCGGATACAGGGTAGCTTGAAGCAAAGCTCAAATTGCACTCTCTGAAGTACAGTATCTGGGATTTCACATCAGGCAGGGAGAGAGACAACTCTCAAATGACAGAAAGGAGGCTATCTGCCAAGTTCCTATCCCTAGCAACCGTAAACGGCTCAGAGCATTTTTGGGCATGGCAGGTTTTTGTAGAATATGGATCCCAGAGTATGGACTGTTGGCTAAACCTCTGTATGAATGTGTTAAGGGAATGGATCATGACCCCTTTCACTGGTCCCCAGAAGTGGACAGGGCATTTAAAATCTTAAAAAGGAAGTTGATGGAAGCCCCAGCCCTAGGTCTGCCAGATCTTTCTAAGCCGTTCCAACTGTATGTGCATGAAAGGAGAGGGGTAGCCCTGGGAGTGCTTACTCAGCTATTAGGTGCCTGGAAACATCCCGTAGCCTACTTTTCTAAACAACTGGATCAAGTTTCAAAGGGATGGCCGGCATGCTTGCAAGCAGTCGCAGCCACTACTCTAGTGCTTGGGGAAGCTGAAAAACTGACACTGGGAGGAACTGTGCAAGTATATATTCCCCATATGGTCCAAGCCCTGCTGGACACTAAGGGTGGTCTCTAGCTCACATAGGCTCGGGTTGCTCGGTACCAGGCAAAACTGTTAGAGAATCCTGAAGTTACCCTGCAAACCTGTCCCTTCCTTAATCCAGCTACCCTGCTATCAGAAACAGAAAAGCAGGAACATGACTGTCTGGAAATCATAGATGCCCACTACTCCAGCCACCCAGATTTAAAAGATCAACCACTCCCAAATGCTGACTTGGAATGGTATACTGATGGCAGTAGTACTGTTGTGGATGGGCAAAGGAGGGTGGGTTATGCTGTTGTGACACTTCATGATACTGTGGAAGCTGAAAGTTTACCTGCTGGGACATCTGCCCAACTTGCTGAACTAGTGGCCCTGACTCGTGCACTCGAGCTGGCAAAAGACAAACGGGTTAATATCTTTACTGATTCAAAGTATGCTTTTGGGGTATTGCATGCTCACGCTGGTCTGTGGAAGCAAAGAGGGATGCTAACAGCCCAAGGTGCTCCAGTTAAGCATGGGTCTCAAATTCTCCGGCTGTTAGAAGCAGTACAACTCCCCTCAGCAGTAACAGTGGTACATTGCAAAGCCCATCAAAGGGAAGATCAAGATGTAACCAAGGGCAATGCCAGAGCAGACAGGGAAGCCAAGCACGCTGCTACCCTGAAATCACCAACTGAGGCGAA